TATGTAATTTTAATTAATTTAATTAATGTTTGTATCCACTGATGAAGATTGAACTCTCAATCGAAACGTTTGGAATATAATAAAAATAAAGTTGGTACGAAGAAAAAGTACTTATTCAAAAATTAAAGAATTAAAAAATAGGATCTAACTTCGTATTCATATCGACACTTCAAAAATCAAATATTCATTTTTTCAACTTAATTTAAAATTTAAAATTTTTTCTTGTATCATCCTGAAAACATGAATTGAAAGGACATAGATATGCGAAATATTAAATACCTATCAGGAGAACATGTCTACAGTAAATTTAATAGAAACGTTGGCTGGATACATCAATTGATAATGCTTTATGCGAGAAAAAGACCTCATTTAATGTCATCTGCACGATTTATTCGGTACGAGAAATTAATTTCCGATTAAAAAGATATTAGATAGTTCTCGATAATAAAATGCAACAGCCCGTAACATTTGCGTAACAAGGAAATATATAAGTGTAACTTAACACAATTGAGAACGGCAGTCAACACTTTTCATTTCGTCTCTATGGATCATACCATGTTCATACTACTTTCTGCAATATTGTTCGAAATCAGTATTACAACAATCTCGGCGGTCAACGGTTCTTACTGTCCCCTTGTAAGTGGAAAACGCTGTCGGAACTGCGCTAAGCCAAGTAAGTGAATTTGCTTTGCCATAGTACCTCAACAACACCTTAGAATAGCACAAAACTTCAACGCATAAATCTCGCTCATAAAAACAAAGCCAAAGAAATACATAGCCCACTTTTCTCAAAACTATAAACTACCACTGACGCTACCCACATCCTAAGCCCCGAACATACACAACAACCTTTCCACATCAAACACAAACCAAAAAAATCCGCTACACTAACCTTGATAACAGGATTAAAAAATCCAAAACGTGCAGAAATGCATCCCCAACCACGCACGTCAACCAGAAAACACCACTTCGCTTTCATACATTAGCAGGCGTAGAAGTTCCCCGCTGGTTTTCGTAGCAAAAACTTATTTTCCGGGAAAAGTCAGAGTGAAATTTGCTTTTTGTCATTGCTAGAGCTCGTAGAATCCACTGTGATTGTCCGAAAAAGACTTTATTTTATTCATTTTTCTCACGCAAACGGTATGTGCAAGACAGGATATGTTGGTAATGGAACATCTGAATATTGTGAAGGTAACAGGAACCTTTGCATAAACATTCAACTGGGCAGTTATCTACGGTGTTCTAAATGCTAACACCAAAATTTCAGTTTCTTTTATTTAATTGACTGCAAGTCTATGGTCATTTAAAAATGTTTTTAGCGTATCAACTGCTCAGCTGATATTTTTCTGTTTTATTACTTTCAACCATGGTAGGTCCGTGTATACCACAAAGATCTAATTGTGCGGATTGCGGTTCTTCTTGTGATACCATTAATGACTTCATCTTACCGGGCGATGCAGGTACAGCGATAAATGACATAGGAACAGGATGTGTGGGTTTCAGTGGCTATGATGATCGTACAAACGAGAGCCTTTGTCTAAGCCACAATACTTACAATTTAACTGTCTCGTGTAATTATCCTTCGAGCGAACTGTTTTCGGTTTGGATCGACTTTAATAAAAATGGTGTATTTGAAACAACAACGGAGCAAATCATTAGCAACTACGGGGGAATAACTACATCAAGAACAACAATACCATTTACAATTCCAGGCAATGTACAGGCTGGTGTTTACACAATGCGTGCAGTTGTTGCTTTTGCTGGCGGTAACCCTGATCCTTGCATTGCAACTGGCTTCATACAAGATGGTGAAACACATGATTATACTGTAGTAATTACGAATGCTAACTGAAAGTTAGTGTAACATGGTTAACATTGAATAACAAACAAGTTCAAAATTCTAATGCTAGAGATACTTTAAGTTTCTTAAATTAAAAAGCGTTTATAGTACTACCATTTCCACTATCTTGTAAATCTATGGCTTTGGGGGTGCGTATGAGTATGCGCGCTATGAGTATTGTTCGCACAGAATCAATATTTTTTGTTATCAATATCTTTTCTTTATTGAATAAAGCTGAAAGAATCTCTCACAAACCAGTTTTCAAGCAGCTCTGAAAAAGCATTCCTTAACTGTAAAACATCAGATAGCATATTTCACTACAAAAGCACTCGAGGCTTCTGAAGAAATCGGTGTTTGTCCACAAAAACTCCAGGTCTTTTCCTCATGAGATCGCTGTTTCCCCACAAGAACTCCATGTTTTTTCCTGAAGAAATCGGTGTTTCTCCACAAGAACTGCAGGTTCTTTCCTGAAGAAATCGGTGTTTCTCCACGAGAACTGCAGGTTTCTTCCTCAAGAAAATCGCTCTTCCTGTGGAAGAACTCGAAGTTTTTCATTGAAGAAATCCCTGTTTCTCCAGAACAATTCGCTGTTTCCTCATGGAGAAATCAGTGTTTCTCCACAGGTACTCCACGTTTTTTCCTGAAGTAATCAGTGTTTGTCCACAAGACGTCGAGGTTTTTCCGTGAAGAAACCGCTGTTTCTTCAGAAACACTCGTTGCTTTTTCCTGGAAAATCGGTGTTTCTTCACATGAACTACACGCTCTTACCTGAAGACATTCGTGTTACACAGCAACTCGAGCTTTTTTCCTGAAGAAATCAGGGTTTCCTACAGAGTTGGAACCGGTCTAAAAATAAGAGGCCGGGCCGGCCGGTTCAAAACAGCAGACCGGACCGGACCGACCGGTGACCGGCCGGCCCAAAAATCTTTTTAGACCGGTGAAAAACGGCAAGAAGACCGGCCGGTTTTCAACAAATTTCGAGAACGGTGAAAAACCGGCAAAAAACTGGGCGGTTTAGACGCTTTTATCAGTAAATCAAAATATTTTTAATGAAAAAGTCATTTTCACTAGCTTTTTCATATTTCTGTTACTTGTTTATTTGAAGTTATCACTTTTCTGCATTGAAGAACATGTCAGTTTTCTTGAACGAAGAAGAGAAAAATGCTAAGAATTTAAAACCAGTCGATCACCGGCCGGTTTGAAAATATTTCTAGACCGGCAAAAGATCGGTGGAGACCGGCCGGTCTAAACTTTTACACCAGATCGGCACCCGCCCGAGCCGGCCGCTGACCGGCCGGTCTGCCGGCCCGGTTCCAACTCTGGTTTCCTACCACGAACAGCAGGTTTTTAGTGAAGAAATCAGTGTTTCTCCACCCGACTTGAAGGTTTCTTCGTGAAGAAGTCCGCGTTTCTGCCGAAGAACGCAAGGTTTTTTCCTGAAGAAATCGGACTATTTCCACAAGAGCTCGAGTTTTTGCGTACATGTTTTTGTTCAATATCCAAATTATATAAATACGCGTGTTTATATGATCCATATTTGCGTCACCCGCAGCCAAAGACTTAGTGGTTGCAAATGTTCCTCTCTGAGTCGGCCTCAGACTGTGGAACGATTGCAAACTAAATGTACCGTTTGTCAAAACTTGTTTTAAGATACCAGCGAGTTTACTGCTATAGATCAGAGAATTTTACATTTTATCTTTTCAACACATCAACTATTTTAGCGAAAGTTGAAAAGCTACACGTATTGCCAACATATGTTACAGATTGATGAATAAAAGATGATGAATGATAGATAAAAGAGCAAACAGGATATGCCGATCGAGAAAAGACAGAACAGGAGAAATACGTCCTTATCACCCAGAAACAATTATTGCTCGATGTTGAAGGCCAAACTGATCATAATTTAAGTTCATTTTATAACGAAAGTTTTCGCCTGAAGTTGTAAATGGTCAAAGGTGAACATGATGAAAAAAAGTTTTTTCTTTAATCCAAATTATATAAATAAGTGTGTTTATATAACCCATATTTGCGTCACGCGCAGCAAAAGAGTTAATAATTGCAAATGTTCCTCTCTGAGTCTTCTACCCTTATGTTTTATTATTTATTACTTATGTCTTCTAGTTTTCTTTTTTACAGAAGGCTTAACTGTAGCCGCTGATTGTAAACGGCATATATAGGAGGCACTGCACGATAGGGACGAACTAAGTTGCTCAATGAACTGTCACAGAATTTTCTCAAATCTTCAGGATGAGTAGAGTAAGGTGTCCTGAAGAATTTGGTCGCTTGACGTTTTTTTCCAAAATGCTTTCCCTCGACGCTAGAGCGCTTGCAAAAAATGTCGTAAAATACGGAAAAAAAAGCGATTTTTCAGTCGAAAATTTTACTTACGCTATAACTCTGTCAAATCAAATGCTAATGAGCTTGAATTTTTACCACAGCTGTCTTGCTATGAGTACTATCTATGATAAAAATTTGAACGTGTTTGAGTTAAGCGTTCTCCAGAAATAGTTCATTCTTTAGACATAGACAAAACGTCATCGGCCGTTTTGCAAAAAGGTTTTTGGAACCGAAGATGGTCCGTTTGGAGGACTCTCTACGGTTTCGTGAAGTAGACCCAGAGTACTACCATGAACAATCGTCGAATTTTTGGGGAAATGATGGAAAACACTCCGGAGCCTCTTGTCAAAAATGGTCGGCGCACCTCGGAAAGACTTGAAAATTTTTAAAAGGCTTTCTTATACTTCATCCGACGCACAATTCAGTGCTGATTCCGAATATCTATGTTATAAGACTTCAAGGTGAACAGGCGTGAGAGAAATTCGATTTACCCAAGGTTTTTTTGAGATTCAGCTGCAGTAAAACTTATTTTAAGTCAAAGTTATCACTTTTCACACTTCATTTGATGCAGAACTGATTGCTGAATAATAATAATACGATAAGCTGTTCTTGAAGACCGAATAGAGTTTTACGTCTGCAGTGGACGTAAAGAACGATTGTGAGCTGAGTAAGCGTTTCTGCTGAGATTCGCGTTTCGTTCTCTGAGAAAAATAAAATTCTTCTGTAGTGCGATAACGTACGCTATATTGATATCAGCGGTGAGAGTATTCTTCAGTCTGAATGCTTCATGGGCAGGCTGTGCTAATGATCATGTGTTAATTATATCAAAGACTAATACAGAAAAATCTTTTGGCAGAAAAATTGTTTGTTGCCATGTACATGCAGTAGCAGTACCATAGTATCTCTCTTCTTATTATTTGTTTCATTTTCTCTATCATTGTCGTATTTCGGAAATAGGTTAGGACAGTGGAACGAGAACAGTCATTTTTCATGAATACAAAAGAAGCAGTAGAAAAGCGTACACAGTGAAAAATGTTTTAAAAAAGTTTACAAATGTATCTTTCTCTCTTATTTACATGTCATTTCTTTAAAACGTTTTTACTTTTACTCTTTGGTGGTTCACTTAACAGTTTCCTTCTTGTTTTCACAATCTCATTGGCTCGTTGAACTGCACGTTCATCCTCTTCGTCTGTTTCATCTTCCTCCTCCTCAAACATCTGACTGTTACTTATAGTAGTGACAGGATAATTTGTTCCAGCAGCTGTTGTTTGCCTTGTGGTTCTCAACGAGATGCCAATTGCTGAATCTTGAGCTACGGATGGTGGTGGTGAGGTCGCATCTTCATTCTGCGTGTCCATTTCGTTATCAAAAACCGACGTAACGTAACGACTTGGTCGAGGTCGCAGAGCTTCGACGGATCTAACTTTTTTTGGTAAATTATCTTGCTGTCCCTCATTCTCGTCACCACTGAAAACATCTGATGCAGTTCTGAATGTTCTTTTACGAGACCGACATCTTGCAATTGATGTAGTCTTTTCTGTATCTGCAGCTGCCTCGGTTTCCTCTTTCCGCTTACGCCCTGCAAGAGTGATTACAAAAATAAAGCGCGTCAAAAGGGGTTCATTAATTTAGAAATCCGTTTTGGAAAACACTAAATGCGAATTTTCTTACCTGAATACAATGGTTTTGGTTGATTTTCACATTGGCGAGGTGTGAGGTAGTCTTTCGGTTGGAACATCTTAGCACCCTGGATGTCCCGTGCCACTCTCATTTTTTTGTGAAGTGCTTCTCCTGCCAGTCTGCCCCCGACCCCCCTACTTTTCTCCTTACACGCACATTCAATGAATTTTTTCATTTGTGGCGTAGGATGCGTTGGTGACTGTCTAACACGCAGGCCCACCCACTTTCTTTGAAGTATTGCATATGTACAGGTGATTTCATACATGTTGTTGAAGATGATGGTGAATCAGCTGCTTTTGTGGGGGAATTTCTGCTCAACATCGACTGTGTAGTAGTTTGCGGTAACTGTTGTTGTTGTACGCGATCGTAGAGTTGTAACTTTGCCTGATGATACGTACTGAGTTTCTTATTATCACCGGTATTGCTGTGGAAGCCTGCAGCCATGTGTAAAGCTAAATCCGTTTCACATTCGAAAGTTGAAGTACACTGTTGCTCTTGACAGAAATATATCGGATTGTACTGACGATCCGAGCGTTTACTAGTGGCAATATTGACAATAACTGGTGGTCTGCTGGTTTTATCGGCTCTTTCTACAGTTTCTGTTTCAGTCAAATTGTTGCTAAACATGTGCGAGGTATACGGCACTAATTTACCCTTTCCTATGCCACTTGTGAGGTACACTTGCTTTCCTATGCAAAAGTTTGCAAAGGCGAAATATCGAGGGCTTCGGAAAAACATCTCTAAAAAATCGAAATTTAATGTTAAAAATCTGTGGTTTACGCAGATCGATAGAAAATTGAATTATGCATCGAATCAGAAAATTCTTTTAGTTGACGGAAGTGGCTGAATTTTTAGATAACCTTCGAAGAATGTTTTCCGAAAAACTTTTGCTACTTTTTTCGTCAAAGTTTTTGCAGAACACATTTTCAGCCAGTTCCCGCAAGTGAAAAACATCTCTGAAAGATCGAAAGTTTTCGTTTTCGTTTGCACATTTGTAGATTTCAGTAAAATTTTCATTTTTGCTACTGGGTTCACGTACTAACCTCCCTGTTTGTTTGTTTCTTTCACTGTAAAACTATTGACCAAACCGCTCATTCCACGTTTACCATAGTATTTTTCTGTGAAATCTCGATATTCACAGAGAAGCTCCTTCTGCATCCAATCGACTACTGCATAGGAAGTTTTTTTATCCATATTTTTGATATCTCTTCGTTGTGTCAAATTTTGTTGGGCACTTCGGTTTAAGTGTCTCATTTGCTCTATTATGGCATCTCTCGAACATTTAAAGTCGTACAACAATTCACCTTTTGCCTCTCGATCGTTCACAGAATCAATGCTGACGGCGATGTCGTCAAATAATTGAGCTAATTTTGTGCAATCCTGACACTTTTGATCATGTTTGTGGTCCTTTGTTGATGCGTAATCTTTGGAACCTTTTTGACTCAGACCATACGTAGTACAGTGAGTGATGCAGTGACTTTGTTCACCACAGTCGCTATAGTACTTAGTTTTCAGGTACAATTTCGCTGCTTCAAGATCCTTCTTTAATGATTGTTTAGAAGTTGATGACTTTGGTAGATCGTTTATTATCGTCTCTAACACAGCATATGCCTGGCCGGCAGCGGTTGCAAAATCGTCTAGACCACTCAACATCTTCTGCTCAGCCGGATTTATCCCTGAAGATCGTAGAGAAGGCAAACTTGTGGGTCACTACGCCGAAAAACTGAACAGGGAGGAAGCTCTCAAGACAAAAAAGACGCTTTGAAAAGTGAAAACAGCTGATTTCTCGCCTGCTAAATCAAACGAAGCCAAACGAAATTCACAGCGAAATCAACTGCG